TGACGATAAGAAAATTCTGGGAGGAAATGTCCGTCAGTTTTTACACACTCCCATCATCTCGAGTTGGGTTATACTCAACACCCTCGCCCGCCCGAAAGTTTTGATATATCACTCATCAATTCAGAAGCATGTCGTAGATGGATGACAAGTCTCAATAATGGCGTATCATAAACCATACCGCTCCGCTGGTCGCCGTTCCGGATATTCCAAGATACTCCTAAGATACGCCCATCACATTCTCTATCTGTGAACCTAAGTATATCCTAGTGAGTATTATCTGTAATCACTACGACATCGCCAATCAACGAGTTGCGTCCAGAGAGTGAGCGGGGTATTCTCACAATGATCAATAATGGCTTCTTTAAGTAAGGAACGTAAGGAATTCCTATTTTTAAGGTGCGCCTTAAGGAGCAGTTCCTAAGAGAAGTGCCGTGTAACACACTATCTACCGGTTCATACTGCAGGCTCAGACAGCAGTGACTGAGCCTGCAGCTATACCCAACATACTGGCTATTACTCGCCTGTTAGAATAAGTGCTGCGCAAGAAGAGGAAGAGAAAGTTCCTAATAATTACAGACCCAATAAGCATATCTCATACCTAAACCACTCGAGTTAACTATGTCCGCTCCCGAAGAGGAGTTAGGGTGTCATTCAAATGACGTAGAAAGGAAAGCAAGCATATACTCTCAAACTGTTCTCGCAACAAGGAGAACACACTTGTGACAACAGTGTCTTCACTAACCTCAAACTTCCACAGATAATTATGTAATTCACCCATCGAGTGTAAATAGATAGGATAACTCACTGGTCAGGTAGAGACCGCAATAGGTCCAATTAGAAAACTTATATATTCACAATCGTTACGGTCTACAATAACGAGCAATAATATATTATAAAACAATCACGTTCGTCTACTCGAGGTCGCAGACATCGTTCCTGGCGAGTCTTGATAATGTGGTGACACCCTAAATGCTCGATTTTCACCTCGTGTCACCCTTAGCGTTGCGCCCATATAATCGATTATTATTTTTTAAGCGCATTCCTGTCTCCTGTCCCCGCACGAGCCTTCAACGTTACAACAACTAAGTAGAATCGCTAATGGCAACGATTTCATTGGTGCCTCCTCTAAAATTGCCACCACTGTGCTTGAGAAAAGGACAACAAGCCTCGGGTGAGTTGCCCTCCCCAATGATTTGCTCGATATATGCATTTTATTTTTTATGGAGAACCTTGTACTAGGAATCACCAGTGTTGGTGGAGTAGGAATATATATAATCGCTCACCTCATCACCTGAGCTCAGGAGTTTCCTATACAGTGTTGGAGTAGGAATATATGTAATCGCTTTCCTCAGCACCTGAGCTCAGGAGTTTCCTATACAGTGTTGGAGTAGGAATATATGTAATCGCTTTCCTCAGCACCTGAGCTCAGGAGTTTCCTATACAGTGTTGGAGTAGGAATATATGTAATCGCTTTCCTCAGCACCTGAGCTCAGGAGTTTCCTATACAGTGTTGGAGTAGGAATATATGTAATCGCTTTCCTCAGCACCTGAGCTCACGAGTTTCCTATACAGTGTTGGAGTAGGAATATATGTAATCGCTTTCCTCAGCACCTGAGCTCAGAGTTTCCTATACAGTGTTGGAGTAGGAATA